GCTGGTGGTATTCTCCATTGCTGTATATGTTTTGTGTTTTATTGTTTAGTTTATTCAACAAATCTGTCTTTTTAAACGCTTGAATACCAGGTGTTTAGACCCCCCTTCCTGGCCTGGCCATTTTTCAGTGTTCAGCGCTGCAGTACTTTAACTGATACTTTTCCCGTCATGTACTGAAATTCATTTTATACCATTGTTTGGGGACAGATAGAGCTTTCTTTTGGTGGTATTTAATCACCACTGAGATTATTATTTTTTACTATATTTCAGAAAATGTACTGAAAATTTTGGAATTTTTTTTAACATTATCTTAGGAAACATTTATTATTATATAATATATAATGCGGGGTGGGAAGGTTTGAAACGTAATTTATTAATCAATGAAGCTTTGATTTAATTACAATGGGGGGTCCCCTGTTATATCCAATAGCAAAAAGAGAATTTTTCCCCGAAAGGGGATCCCACCATTGTTTCAAGATTGAGCACACAAAAAGTGTTTTTTCGTAGAAAATATTTATTAAATATATTAAAATTGCACATATATTGAAAAATCTATATACAAAAACATGAACAAACATATAAATGGCTGCATACGGCTAGTAAATAAAAACATGCGTGTGGATAAACATGGGTTAAACATGGGTTAAAGGCACACCGGGAAGCGCTCCACTCTATAAGAATGTAACGATTTGCTATCAGAAGATTCTAAATAGCTCAAGCTCTCTGCTGTTTAGAAAGGGGATATCGGGTCTTGGGTAACGGTGAAAAAAATATTTTTACCATACACGTGTATGAAAAAAGGAATGAAAAAAAGGAAAAAAGAACAGTCAACGTCAAAAATATATCATTTGTTTGGAAAAAATGTATAGATTTCACTCACAATACTGTGTATGTTCACCCATAGGCCAAAGTAGGAAGATCGGAGTAGTTATACCCTTGATATAGATGGATTCAGCTTGATGTATAGATGGTTCAGGAGATGTCTAGCCTCATCTTGGCTTTTGCCTCTCCACTGCAGAGAGATGCCTTTACTGAACACATGCTTTTCTGAAGTAGTAGATTTATCAAAAATGGAGAAAAGGAAAACAGGAAGTATAGAAAGGATCAATCATTCCAAAGGATGAACTTCTGCTGAGAAATACTTAATTCTCCTGGAATTGAAGCTACAGGATCAGGGTGGTTCTTTCATCCGGCATAGCGAATTTCTGTGATAAATGCAGTAAGTTTCAGGAGATAATAACTCTATCTCGGCTTAGTTGTTCGCAGTGGGAACAAGCCTTTACTGAGCAGCTGCTTCAATTCGTTTCCTGGTTATGCTTCAATCAGAAGAAAGATCCTGTGTGGCTGAATCCAATGGTGTATGAATATAATTCAAATCCAAAATACATATTCATTGGTGCAGGGGTTGGTTCATCTTTTCCAACTTCGAAATCCTATGATATCTCCAATTAAAATCAAAATCAAAAGTTCTTCTGGCTATATGTTGGAAGCAGGAGAGTCAGGGCGGCCTCAGCCGTAGCAGTCACATACACCTAGCCCACATGGGCAATAGGAAGACACTGACGATTTTCCCTAAATAGGCAGTTTCTTATTAAGAAAGAACCGTTGGAATGTCAACTAATTAGTACATTGAGAGATATAACAGCTGAAACAGTATGCCGATTCTGATTTTTCCTGGTCCTTCAGTGTGATGGGTGGCTTCACTGGCCGACAGGGAAAGAGGTGTAAAGCTTGATAAGACCTATATAGGTAACATTTAAAGGTAATATTTAAGGGTAAAAGGCACCATGTTTTATTGTAGCACCTTTGTATGAAATCTCTCTCTGGTAGTGCTGTGGGGTTCTCCTGAAATATGTTTACTTCAGGAATACCAAGGAAGCAGGTAATATTAGTAGGATTAGTAGGATAGTGCAGGATCAATCAGGATAGTGTAGACCTATAGAATGTGGCATTTGCATAGGATAGTGAGTGGGACCAACAGATAGATTTCTTTCTTTAACCACTTAAAGACCAGGGTGTTAAACCCCCTTCCTGGCCAGGCCATTTTTCAGTATTCAGCGCTGCGGCACTTCGACTGACGCTTATTCCGTCATGCAACGCTGTACTGAAATGAATTTTATACAATTTTTTGGGGACAGATAGAGCTTTCTTTTGGTGGTATTTAATCACCACTGTTTTTTTTTTACTATATAACAAAAAAAGTACCCTAAATTTTGAGAAAAAACCTGTTTCCCTCTGAAATTTTATGACACATTTATTATTACCCAATTTTTGGGTAAAATATAAAAGACAGTGTCACGTCGGGTAAATAGACACAAAACATGTCATGCGTAAAAATTGCGCGCACCCGCGAAATCGCAAAAAAACTACCATACCCAAAATTGACCATAGACGACCCTTTAAAAGCTTATACCGCTCATCAGTTTAGTGTTATCAGTGATTGATGGCCCTAGAATTATTGCTCTCACTGCGACGTTCGCTGTGATATGTAACATGTGCGGCGTAATGGGCGCAATCGGCGTTTGCGCAGGTATGCGCACCCGACGCATGTTTGTATGCGTGTATGTATGGGTGGGGACTTTATAAAAAAAATGTTTTTTCAAATTCTTTTTTATGTGTAACTTTACATTTTTTGGGGGGAAACTTTAATTTTTTTTCACTTAACTTTATTGCTATAACATAGGGGGCTAAGACACCAAAAGATGTGACAGGTCCTCTTTATGGAGACATCAGGGGTCTCCAAGACCCCTAATGTCACCTAGGACCCCCGGCAGACGCTGATGAAGCACAGATCTGCTTCATCAGCTTCTCTCTAGAGTCTGAAGCTGGAGAGTCAAGCAAAACAAATGGCAAACGCACTCATCAATTTGTTACCAGCTTTACAGCAAGGTGCACATAAAAGGGCTTAATACAGTACAACAGCAAAAAGTTTCCCAGCACACTCACCAGCCAGCATGCAAAAAAAGGGAGATTCTAATAGTTTAGAGTTAGGACTGCACTATATAGATGTGCCTTGGCGCGGCTGTGCGGCTTTCACATTTTCTGCAGAAGACGTGTACCTAAACCTCTGTTTTTAACTTTAGCGGTGAGACATGTTTTTTGCATGCTGGCTGGTGAGTGTGCTGGGAAACCTTTTGCTGTTGAAGCTGGAGAGTGACACAAGTATGCGGAAGTGATGTAGTATTGGAGGTTGTTTTTAAAGATGCCCGCTCAGATCTAGAGAGCTCCCTGCCGGCTGTTTTTTTTACAACGGCCGGCTGGGAGGTAGATATAAATCAAACTTGGCAATTTTTATGTTTTTCTTGGGGGGGGGTATTTGGGGACACAAGTAGCTGGTCTTGCCTAGGGCGCAAAATAGGCTAGCACCGGCCCTGTATGGACAGATACTCCAATCTCTGCTTTGGAGCTTTGCAGCTCCCTCAGGTTTATCTTTGGTCTCTTTGTTGCCTTTCTGAATAATGCCTTCCTTGCCTGGTCCATGAGTTTTGGTGGGTTGCCCTCTCTTGGCAGGTTTGTTGCGGTGCCATATTCTTTCCATTTTATAATGGAGTTAATGGTGCTCCATGGGATGTTCAAAGTTTTGGATATTTTTTTATAACCCAACCCTGATCTGTACTTCTCCACAACTTTGTCCCTGACCTGTTTGGAGAGCTGCTTGGTCATCCTCTTGCTCAGTGGTGTTGCTGGGGCCGTTCAGAACAGGTGTAGATATACGGAAGTCATGTGACACTTAGATTGCGCACAGGGGGTCTTTATTTAACTAATTGACTTCACAAGGTAATTGGTTGCACCAGATCTTATGTAGGGGCTTCATAGCAAAGGGGATGAATACATATGCACGCACCACTTTTCTGTTTTTTATAGTTTTTAAAAACAGGTTATTTTCTTGATTTCACTTGACCATTTTAGACTATTACATGTAATCCAAATAAAAATCCATTTTAATTCCAGGTGATGCAACAAAATAGGAAAAATGCCAAGGGGGTGAATATTTTTCCTGCAGCAGGAATCCCTAATCTGCCATTTACAAGTGGCAGCTGTCACCCATTTATGTTACTGATCGGGTGACAGCTGCTGCATTTCCTGCATTCTGCTGCTTTCAAATGCAGCGGCTGTCACCAATCATTAACTTGAATGGGTGATAGCTGCCACTTGTAAACAGCAGATTAGGGATTCCTGCTGCAGGAAATCGCAAGTTCCTGACCCAGGAATTCCTAATCACAACTAAAATATAGGTTAAATGGGGCCTAAATGCAATAGTAAATAACTTTGCCATTCTCTGCACTAAGAAAGTTGTTCTATGCAGCATTAAAGTGACATTAAACCCTCAGATTTTTTAACATAAAACAATACTGTAATGTGTGCCTTACTGTAATCCATGGTCGTTTCCCTTCTCTTTGCTGCTCTTCCTTTTAAATCTGTATCTGTTCTCATGCTCTGCAGAACTTCTGTTTTGCAGCAGACTGCCTTGTCTCAGGAATGGATACACGGTGTCTGTGTATACGTTTCTATAGGCTTGTAACCTGAGCCAGCACTACAGGAAGAGGCCCTGAGCTGAAAAGGGAAGTTCCCCCCAAGCATGAGAAGACATGAGGATTTAAAAGGAAGAGCAGCAAAGAGAAGGGAAACAACCATGGATTACAGTAAGGTACACATTACAGTATTGGTTTATGTTAAAAAATCTGAGGGTTTAATGTCACTTTAAGAGTAAGGTTTGTGTTGTGTTATGTTCTGTGCCTACAGATGTAAATCTGGCCATGTGTGTTTATTAAGAAGTTAATAAGCCAAGTTAATAAGACACACACACACAACACATCTTTTTATCAAAAGGGATTAAATGTGTTATTTACCAGTATATACTGAATGTAAATATAATCTGATTACTTCCTGAAATTTGAATGTTGTGATAGGGTTAATAAATCTTAATATTTCCTTAGTATTTTATACAAATAGAATGATATTATTCTATTTATTAATAAATATATATTCATGTTTTACAGGCCTACATTGATTATTTCCTCTGTATTAGTTGGATTAGGAGGAGGACCTCTCTGGGCTAGTAAAAGCACATACATTACAATAATCGGAAACAAATATGCAGAGACTTGTGGGAAATTGGCAAAAGATGTTGTAAACCAATATTTTGGAATATTTTTCCTAATTTGCCAAACTTGTCGTATTTGGGGAAATCTTATTTCTTCTTTGGTGTTTCACTTAACACCAAATGCAGGTAATCTACATTTTATATTGATGCATATATTGATTGAATTATGATTTTGCTCATATGCAGTGTATCCTTTGTGCTTCAGCTTTATTTGAGTCTGTTGAATGGTAAGATGTAATTGTTGATCACTGTAAATGGATTTGCTAAAAACTGATTAATGTTCGCATTCTTTCGCCCTGCTTATTTTCAAAATGAACTAACATCGCATTGCTCCAAAAAAAGAAGGGAAGAAGTGTTGTAAAAACGTTCTGGAAGACAAAAATAAATTGTATTCATCTACTCACCCTGTTGACTGGATAGACATTAATAGGTATTTGATAAATCCCTGCAGTTTGTTTATTTGACATTTCTGCCAGACTGAAATAAATGTTTTGTCAAGCTTTAAAGGGACACTGTCACCTCCCAATTAAATGAAAAGTGACAGTGCTTCCTGAGAGTCCACTCCCCAGCAAGTTCAGTAATCCACTGTAAGTTTTGGTGTTGGATTGTGTTACAGCATACTCAGCATTGTCATTTGGGGGTTACAAATGCTCCCCCATACCTGGAAGCCCTGCTTAGCTTCAGCAACAGCTTCAAAACTCTGACAGAATGGGGAGGTGGTAAAAGGATTGATCGGTGAGTATTATTATTATTATTATACAGGATTTTTATAGGGCCAACAGTTTGTGCAGAGCTATACAATATAAGAAAGACATTACAATCACAATACAAATCAAGACAAGATGGTAAGGAGGGCCCTGCCCCTGAGGGCTTAAGATCTAAAAGGGAGGGGGAAGCGATACTTGAGGAGGTAGCGGTGTGGGGATGAATTGTTTGAGAACGTGATGGTTGAGCGGTTAGGTTGAGGTGGGATAGGCTTCCCTAAAGAGATGAGTCTTAAGGGATCGCCTAAAGGCAGTCAGAGTGGGAGATAGACAGACAGGTTGGGGTAAAGAGTTCCAGAGGATGGGAGAGAGGATGGCTTTGTAAGTCATTGTTAATATTTTGAATTTTATCCTTTGGGCTATTGGAAGCCAGTGCAGGGATCGGCAGAGGGGGGTTGCAGACACTGAGTGGTTGGTTAGGTGAATGAGTCTAGTAGCAGCATTCATGATAGACTGAAGAGGGGACAGCCTGTGTAGTGGTAGGCCAATGAGTGGGGAGTTGCAATAGTCAAGAGGAGAGATAAGTGAGTGGATGAATAGTTTTGAGGTTTCATTGGTGAGGAAGGGGCATAATTTGGAGATGTTACGAAGGTGAAGGCGGCAGGATTTGGATAGTGATTGGATGTGGGGAAGAAAGGTGAGGTCCGAGTCAAGGATGACAACTAGCACCTTGGCATGGGGGGAGGGTTGGATAGTTGTGTTATCAATCTCAAGGGAAAAGTTGGGGAAGGTGTACGGGTAGGAGGAAATATCATGAGCTCAGTTTGTAAAAGGTTGAGTTTTAAGAAGTGTTGTAACATCCAGACTGATATGTCAGTTAGTAGATTAGTGATACGCAAGGACACTGACGGGGTGAGTTGTGGAGTAGAAAGATAGATTTGAGTGTCCTTGGCATAGAGATGGTATTGGAAGCCATGTGAGGTTATTAACTGACCAAGAGAGGAAGTGTAGATGGAGAAGAGGAGGGGTCCAAGGACAGAGCCTTGCGGGACCCTTACAGAAAGAGATAGGGGAGGAGTTAGATTTGTAGGTGACATTAAAGGAGCGCTTAGATGATAGGTAGGAGGAGAACCATGAGAGAGTATACCTTGCTGGGGGGATGGGGGGGCAATAGGAAGACACTGACGATTTTCCCTAAATAGGCAGTTTCTTATTAAGAAAGAACCGTTGGTAATGCAATCAGAATGTCAACTAATTATTAATACATTGAGAGATATAACAGCTTAAACAGTATGCCGATTCTGATTTTTTTCTGGTCCTTCAGTGTGATGGGTGGCTTCACTGGCCGACAGGGAAAGAGGTGTAAAGCTTGATAAGACCTATATAGGTAACATTTAAAGGTAATATTTAAGGGTAAAAGGCACCATGTTTTATTGTAGCACCTTTGTATAAAATCTCTCTCTGGTAGTGCTGTGGGGTTCTCCTGAAATATGTTTACTTCAGGAATACCAAGGAAGCAGGTAATATTAGTAGGATAGTGCAGGATCAATCAGGATAGTGTAGACCTATAGAATGTGGCATTTGCATAGGATAGTGAGTGGGGACCAACAGATAGATTTCTTTCTATAACCACTTAAAGACCAGGGTGTTAAACCCCCTTCCTGGCCAGGCCATTTTTCAGTATTCAGCGCTGCGGCACTTCGACTGACGCTTATTCCGTCATGCAACGCTGTACTGAAATGAATTTTATACCATTTTTTGGGGACAGATAGAGCTTTCTTTTGGTGGTATTTAATCACCACTGGGTTTTTTATTTTGTACTATATAACAAAAAAAGTACCCTAAATTTTGAGAAAAAACCTGTTTCCCTCTGAAATGTTATGACCCATTTATTATTACCCCAATTTTTTGGTAAAACATAAAAGACGGGGTCACGTCATGTAAATAACAGTCAGTGTACCCATTGCACTCCTTACCGCTTAGTCCGTGATGATAGGTTGGGTGCTTCAGTAGTCGACGGATGGCCACGGTCTGAACAGAGTATAAGAAATTATGGACACCGGCACTCCAAGGTAGAAAAACTTCTTTTATTGACGTGTCATGCAACAATACACTTATTGCAACGTTTCGAGGTCACACAGGATCCCCTTCATCAGGCAGAACAAGTGAGACCACTTGTTCTGCCTGATGAAGGAGATCCTGTGTGACCCCGAAACGTTGCAATAAGTGTATTGTTGCATGACACGTCAATAAAAGACGTCAGGTAAATAGACACCAAACATTTCAAGCTTTAAAATTGTGCGCGCCCGCAAAATCTCAGAAAACGATCACAACCAAAATTGGCCAAAGGCGATGCTTTAAAAGCTTTTACCACTCATCAGTTTAGTGTTATTAGTGAATAATGGCCCTAAAATTACTGCTCTCACTCCGAGGTTCGCGGCAATATGTAACATGTGCGGCACAATAGGCAAAATCATCGTTTTCGCATGTACGCGCACCCAACGCATGTTTGAGTGTGTATGTGGGGGTGGGGGGCTTTAAATTTTTTTTGTTATTTTACTTTTTTTTATTTGTGACTATTTTTTTATGCTTCTTTTAATTTTTGTAAAACTTTTTTTCACACTTAGCTTTATTGTGATCACATAGGGGGCTATCACATAGGGGATTCACATAACAGGTCCTCTTTATGGAGACATCAGGGGTCTCCATAGACCCCTAATGTCACCTAGGGACCCCCAAAGAAGCTGATGATGCAGAGATCTGCTTCAGCAGCTTCTCACCGGCATCTGTAGCCGGAGAGTGACACGGAATGTGGAAGTGATGTAATATACATCACTTCCTGCATGCGGGGACCGGAGAGGAGCTCACAGGGAGATCGTGTACTGACCTCCCTTTGATCTGCACTGACAGAGTCACCGTGCCGGTCCCAGCCACACCGGCACAGTGGATCCCAGGAACCAGCGGCGATGGCGGGGGGCGCACATCCGCACCTAATACCAGCGATCGGGCGTCTCTAGAGACATTTCTGACAGTTTCCCCACTCATGTGCACACTGTGCGCCGCGTACGAGCGGGGGAGGGGAAGGATGTCTAAACATGCCCTCCCGCTCCCATAAGGCTCCCGTCCGGCCGTTCAGGAATGGCCAATGGATGGGAGGTGGTTAAAAAATAGTACCAGACACTTTAGATTTCAAGGAAAAGTAAAAGAGAAAAATAAATGATGCACTTTGATACCCAAATTCATGTAAGTAGAACTAAATATGTACATTTAGTTATGTGCTAAAACAAGAGCCTGAGCTATTGAATGAATACATCAAAAATATATACAGCACTAGTTAAATATTTACCATTAAAATAATACAAATATTGTTGAGATAAGTTCATAAACAATGTGCACCAACTCCACTTAAAATACAGCAACTAAACAAACCTACCAGAACCCACAAAAATTCTTCCAATATATAAACACTAAAAAGGTAAGGAAAGAGCAGGTACGCCCAATAAAAGATGAGAATGGGAGATTAATCACAAACGACAGGGAGAAGGCTGAGATATTAAATTCATTTTTCTCCTCAGTATACACTCTAGAAAAAGACGGGTTTAATGGAGATAAGAATGAGAGTAGCTTAGTGCATGAGATACCACAGTGGTTGACGATAGCCGGGGGTTCAATAAAGACTTGATAAACTTAATGCAAATAAATCGTTAGGACCAGATAACCTGCACCCTAGGGTACTTAACCACCTTACAGGAGCGGGAGGGCGTCTTAAGACGTCCTGCCCCTACCCCCGCTCGTGCGCGGCGCCCCGGAGAAACTGTCAGCCATGTAAACAGCCAGCAATGGCTGTTTACATTCAATCTCTCTTCAATCTGACATTAGAGGTCTTTGAGACCTCTGATGTCTCCATAAAAAGGACCTGTGAATTGGCCATCACATAGGAGATGTCTTAGTCCCCTATGTGATAGCAATGAAGTTAAGTGTAAAAAACAAAAGTTTAAAAAAATGAAAGCATAAAAAATAAAGAAGCTAAAAAAAAATTGTCACAAATATATATTTTTTTTAAATAACACAAAAATGTTTTTAAAGTCTCTCGCCCCCCCCACATACATGCGTCGGGTGCACCAACGCGCGAAAACGACAATTTCGCCTATTGTGCTGCACATGTTACATATCACTGCGAATGTCAGAATGAGAGCAATAATTTTAGGGCCATTAATTACTGATAACACTAAACTGATGAGCGGTAAAAGCTTTTAAAGCGTCGCCTATGTCCAATTTTGGTTGTGGTTGTTTTTAGCGATTTTCGCGGGCGCGCACATTTTTAAAGCTTGACATGTTTGGTATCTATTTACCCAACGTGACCCCGTCTTTTATATTTTGCAAAAAAATTGGGGTAATAATAAATGTTTCATAACATTTCAGTGGGAAACATGTTTTTAAAAAAAATTTAGGGTACTTCTTTTGTTATATAGTAAAAAATAAAAACCTCAGTGGTTATTAAATACCACAAAAAGAAAGCTCTATCTCTCCCCAAAAATGGCATAAAATTAATTTCAGTACAGTGTTGCATGACGGAATAAATGTCAAAATAACGCGGCACTAAATACTGAAAAATGGCCTGGCCAGGAAGGGGGTGTAAACACCTGATCTTCAAGTGGTTAAAGAGCTCAGCCAGGTTACAGCGAGACCATTATTCCTCATTTTCAAGGACTCTATACTGACTGGAAGGGTACCAGGTGATTGGCGTAAAGCTACGGTAGTACCAATATTTAAAAAAAAAAAAAAGGTTCAAGATGCCAACCGGGGAACTACAGACCAGTCAGTCTAACATCAATAGTATGCAAACTGTTTGAGGGAATGGTATAGGACTATTTAGTGGACTTTGTTCATGGCAATAGTTTAATAAGTAATAATCAGCATGGATTTATGAAGGACCGCTGCTGTCAGACCAACCTATTAACATTCTACGAAGAGGTGAGTAGAGATCTGGATAGAGGAAGGCCGGTGGATGGGGT